TTAAAATAGAGGCAAGATCCTAAAAAGCAAATCTTTATACTTGAAGCTTACTTTTATACTGTATCCTAAGCAGAGAAAACGTATGTTATAGGAAATGAGCTGACAAACCTGTGACTTAGAAACAGAGACACTGTACAAAAATCAGTTAAGTGCCCAAAGAAACTTAGTTGCTTTGGCTGATAAAGGGGAATTTGAAATGTGTCTCAACACATTTAGAGATTATTAACAGTGTTTAGTGAGTGCTACCAAGGAATCCTTCTGGATTCTCTCATCTTGAGAAATTTTCTTAAGCTTTTATAGTGGAGACAAATATAATAACATAGGTAAAATGACATATGCTTTAAACAGTTTCTAATAAAGTGACAGAGACGTGAACTACTTCTCCATAATTGACCAATGGATGCTCTGTGAAAAAGGTAACATTTGAACTGATGATGAGATGAGAAGAAATTTAATCAGAGAGGATTGGGTTCTGGCTTTTTTCAACTAAGGCAAAATACTTGCACAAAATAAGGAAAACCTGAAAATAAATGTGTCTAAGAAATGGAATGAGAACATAAGACCTATAAAGGGATTCTTTGAATCTGCCTGTGCCTCGATCGTAGACCACCCAGACTCCAGAACTATGTGTGCCAAATACATTTTTGTTCTTTATAAAAGAAATAGAGATTCCTTGAGAGACAAGGCTGGTATAAGAGCTGAGAGACTCCGATGCCGTGATCAGTAGTCTGGATTTTATTTTGCAGGTAGGAAGGAGCCAACATGGTTTTCAAGGAGAGCAGATGGACTGACCACTTTATGTCTTAAGAGGGAAAATCTGGTGGCAGTGATTATAGACAAGAGGATGAAGTTGATGGCCCAGGAAGAGAGCTAGTAAACTAATGAAAGGAAAAGAGGACGTTCTTACAGAGGATAGTGGCAGAGATGAAAAGATGAGAAGAAATTCTGCAGGGACAGAACTGACTGGATTTAAATGCCTGAAGGCAGGGGCAATGTCTGTGTCATCACAAAGATGGCAGATTTGAGAGAGTGAACAGAGGAAGAGCAAGCTGGACCCGTCCCATTTTGACAGACAGCACTGAATCACCGGTGAAATGCTGAGTAGGTGCTGTCCCCACGTGTATGCAGCCTAGAGAAAGTCGGGAGTAGAGGCAGATATCTGGGGAGTATTGACAAGGGTCTGACGGCTGAAGTCACGGAAGAGATGACATTAACCGGACGCAGGGGTAGGGAAAAAAGGGAAAGGGCAGGATCATGAAGAATCTCCATATACTGAAGAGCTAGGGAGTTGGCAACAGAGGTAAAAGGAAGGAAGGAGACTGAGAAGAGGCTGGTAGATGTGACAAGAATGACAGCATTGATGACTGTTAATAAAAAAGTGCCAGTTAGGGGCGCCTGGCTGGCTCTGTTAATAGAGTGGATGACTCTTGATCTTAGGGTTGTGAGTTCGAGCCTGATGTTGAGTGTAGAGACTACTTACAAATAGAAATTTTGGAAAAAAAAAGTGTCAGTTAAATGGTAGGGATAACAATCAGATTGTCAGGGCAGAAATAATTAGGCAAAGGAAAGAGGCGGCCTTTGAGAAGTTAGGCGGTGGGGAAAGACAAGAGTGGAAGCTTATTTGCAGGCTAAAGAGAAAAGGCAGCATAGAAATAAAAATAGAAGGAGCGCGCGTGTGTGTGTGCGTGCATGCTTGTGTGGGATGGGGGGTTGGGGTGAAGATGAGGCAGTTGGATCACCGGAAGGAGCCCCAAGAATAGGGAAGTAACTAACACGATCAAGAAGACGACCACATTATGGACTGAATTATGTCTGCCTGAAAAGACATGTTCAAGTCTTAACCCTGAGGTCCTCTGAGTGTGCCATTTGGAAATATGGTCCCTGCAGAGGTCACAAGGGAGTAGGGTGGGCCCCTAAGCCAATATGGCTGGTGTCCTTATAAAACACAGCCACGTGACCATGGAGGCAGGGGGAATGCAACATGCTGGCTCGAGTGAGGCTCCTGCAAGCCAAGGGTTGCTCGCAAACCAGCAGAAGCTGAAAGGGCAAGGTCGTTGCCCTACACGTTTCAGAGGGAGCATGGTCCTGTCAACACCTTGGTGCCAGACTTCCGGCTTCCAGAACTGTCAGGCAATCAATTCCTGTTGCTTTGAACCATCCAGTTTGTGGCACTTGATGATGTAGCCCTAGGAGACCAATCCAGTTCACTTCAGACGGCAGGAGGGGAAAATTCTTCAGAGAGAGAAAGGGGAATAAAGAGGCTAGGTAGAAATGCCATCCTGGTCTTCCTCTGCTGCATCCTGAAGATGGCTCACTTCTGGCTTGACCCTTGTGGTGAGGGGATAAGTGAGGGCGAGCTCTCAACAGGAATGCGCTGCTGCAGACTGAACAGAAGTTCTTGTTCAACTTTGTATTCCCGAGCCAAAGCTGGTGAGATGTTTTGAACTAAGATAGCAGAGCCGCTGGACAGTAGGGCTGCTCGGGGTCACTGAGACTGAGCGGGAATGCAAAGGACAAATGGCTGCATGTCTTCTTTTGCCATAAGAAATGCCATATTTATGAGAAAAACAGTATCACATGAGTTCCTTTTCTTTTACTCTCTAAAGGTAATCCAAATACCAAAGAAATTTAGAACAATTTTACCTCAAAAGAAAATGCAGTGATAGAGAACACTTCAGAAACTCAAAGACATGGAAGGCTTACCATGGGCCCTGGCCAGTAAGAGCTCAGGTGCGAGGTAGTCCGGGGTTCCAAGAATCCGCCCATCATCCATGGGAGCCGCCCCTCGCCTCACACTCTTTGGAGTTCGATATGGAGTTCCTGATTTGACCTGTTTGGGGGTCTGCTAATATAAAAATAGTTTACAATAAATATCGTATTTCCTCTTCCAGTGAACGGAAATGCTAAAAACAAAAGCAAAGCTAGGCTGCTGGGCATAAAAGGCCTATGGAAATTCCTGATCGGTTTTGAAAACGGACTCATTACTAACATTTCGAACAGTCTTGATATCTGGTGAAATGAAATAGCTTAGGTAAGACCAATTATTTCAGTAACATCTAGATATGCAAGAAGGAATGAAGGAATCCTTAAGAAAAATTTCTTTCTCGATAGCATGGACTAATAGGAACTTCAGAATGGTCACTAAGGGATGATGTTGCGGCTTATAAGTGATTGAATTATTGGGACAACACATCAGCTGGTACTAAATATAAATAACTTCTTATGCTAATTGGTAGTTAAGTTTTAAAAATATTCTGTGGTCTTACAAGGATTCTGTGAGACAAGCAGAACAGGTGTAAGCGTATTCTATGGAGAGATAAGAACAGGCTCTGAGGAAAAGGGACTTCTACGTCACTCAGCAACTTCTGAATAGAAAATCCCAACTCTTGTGACCCTAAATCAGGGTTTGTACTTTCAAGTTTATGTTGCCTCTCCAAAAAAAAAGGGGAAAAAAATGAAACTTTGGGTTTATTAAGATAAAGGTTTAGAAAATAAAAACAATATAAGATTTGAAATATCTATTTTCCAACTATTTTCTATAAAGAAAAGAGATAATCTATGAAAGTCCTTAGAAGGGACTAAAGATAGAGTTAACTTTAATATTGTATTTTAGAGTTGCTATTTTCAAGTGAAAATATGTCACTATAAATATGTAAATATGTGACTGAGAATACGTGAAAGTCTAGGGTCCCCTGGGTGGCTCAGTCAGTTAAGTGACTGCCTTCAGCTCAGGTCAGGAACCCTGCGATCCTGGGATCAAGCCCCGAATTGGGCTCCCTACTCAGTAGGGAATCTGTTTCTCCTCTCCCTCTGCCCCTCCCTGCTGCTTGTACATGCATGTGCTCTCCCAAATTAATAAATAAAATCTTAAAAAAAGAAAAGAAAATATGTGCAAGCCTAGAGCGCAAATGAAGAAGGTGCTATAGTTAAAAATAATAAATTGCTACCAGCTTTACCTTTCTGCAGCAAAACCTCCAACAATCCAAAGATTCCCAACAAGCAGAACAGAAAATCTCAGATAGTCTAGGTAAGAGGTAAGTACCTGGCCTTCATAGTTTATTGTCATAAAATCAACAACAAAGTGTTAGAAAGGGGTGCTTGGGTGGCTCAATGGGTTAAGTGTCTGCCTTCGGCTCAGGTCATGATCCCAGGGTCCTGGGATTGAGCCCCACATCGGGCTCCCTGCTCAACGAGGAGCCTGGTTCTCCCTCTCTCACTCCCCCTGCTTGTGCTCATTCTCTCTCCCTCTCTCTCTGTGTCAAATAAATAATAAACTTATTTAAAAAACAAAACCAAACAAAGTGTTAAAAAGGAGGAACATACCTGATATGGCTTATAGGATGCTCCTTTTTGATTAGGGGTTATAGCCATGGGATATGAACCGCTATAAATGCAGGAAATATCCATTGCATCTAAAGAGGTAATGCTCATTTTAGATGGTTCTGAGTTATTGGATGCATTGATATGACTATTAAAGCTTCGAAAAGCTACAGCATTTCTTTTAGATAAGCTTAATGTTTTCAGCACCTCTGAAGACGGAGCTAACATTTTTTGGCTACTGTCTTGGACAGCAGGATTCTCATCGCCTTTTGGCAAGGTATTTTCTTGCCAGTTGGGTGATACGGTAAGTAGGTCTTCAATGTTTGATTCTTCAAAAGAGGATTCTTTGATGCTTTTATCTGGATCCAAGGCCTGCCTTTCTAATGAACTCTCCATGATAGAAATTCCAGGAAAAGATGAATCGGAGTCCATACACATACTTTTAGAAGCTCTCTCATCATCGGAACATAGAAAACTCGAACTTAGGAGGTCTTTCTTATTATTCTTGTCACAATCTTCATCCAGTTCACACAGAAGGTTTTTTGCTATCATTGGGATAGGTGATTTTTCTGGGGTTTGTGGTTTATCAGTGAAAGAATTGACCATGTTCTCCTTATCGGCACAGTCACCATGCTGACCTCCACACACTGATAGCTTCAGGTCTTGGACTTCCATTGTTAAGCCTGTCCTTTGGTTTATATAACCATCGTTCATTTCATTTCTAGACTTATGCTCTATACAGTTTTTTTTTTTAATTCTGTATGATGGTCTGACAAGGACTAGAGTCAACTAACTCAAAAGTT